GCACTCGCTCCTCCCCCCGCGCGCGGGGGGCGGGCCCGCCCGCCCCCCCCCGCGGGGGGGGGGGGGGTGGGGTCTGGACGCGCCTGCGCTTCTAGTATATTAACTGTTTCATGGAAATGAGTTGAAGTGAGCCCTCTGTACTGCTGTGTGGACTAATGATCTGTTATATGCCTTCGTGCTGCATATATATATATTCCTTTGTGCTGCATATATATATATATATAAAATCATAAGTGTCCTGGTTTTGTTTCTCTCGAGAACTGTAACAGAGGTCAATGCATGTCATTGAGGGTCTCTCATTTTTGTTGCCCTTCCACTTTATCAGACAGCGATGGCCTTTTCTAGCAATGGGTCACCCCTTATGATTGTCTAGATTGGATAATATTCTGTTATAAGCCACAAGGTTCTCAGCAGCTAATTTTTCAAAGTAGATCACCAGGCCTTTACTCCTAGTCTCTTAGTCTGGAAGCTCCACTGAAACTTGTCCACCATGGGTGGCCCTGCTTGGATTTGAAATGGCAGTGGCGTAACTTCCACCACCATTGCAACAACGTGCAAGCCACCACAGTACAATAGACTGACAGGTGGTCGATGACAGCGCACATTAGAAAGTACTTATTAATCTGGGCTTATGGCAGGATTTCTGAGAAGGCTCAGGAAAAGGGGGGGGGCTTTTCTCTGGGCTGGATGCTGTTAGGAAGCAGGGATAATCCTTATTAAAACATTCTCATCTAGAAGATGAGGGGAATGCGCCACAACTAATACCTTAATTGGTAAAGAAGCAATAGTCTCTTCTCTGCTTCCTTCGCTCCGATCTAAGTTTTATTTCCTTTCCTCGGCCAGCGTAGGGTGTAGTTTACGATTTCCTTAAGGCAGTGTTTCTCAACCTATGGGTTGCAAACCCTTTGGGGGTTGAACAACCCTTTCACAATGTGGGGGGAGGTCAGATGAGGAGGCATTCCCCCCACTGAGGGCAATCAGTTGCCAGACTGCTGTCTCATCCCTCCACAGGGGTGGGCCTGCTCCCTGCCTCTGGGGACAATGGACAGGCTCCTGTAGGAGGGGTTTTCACCCTACTGATAATGGTTCCTATGGAGACCCAGAGACCACCCCCTAGACCACCCTCTCATTGCTGTGTAACCTATAGTGCAGCTCCTCCCTGTGACGTATGTCTCTACCTGTAATTAGTGGGCTGGCTTGCACCCAAAAGGTATACAGTGAACCCTCGTTTATCGCGGTTAATCGGTTCTAGACCCTACCGTGATAAATGAAATTCCGCGAAGTAGGATTCCTTATTTGTAAATCAAATATTTTCGTAGTTAGAGCATAGAGGACATGAAAAAACACCCTTTAGTCACCATTACACTCATATTACCCAATTTATTAAACGAAAAAGGGAAAATACAGTAAAACATTTTGGACGTTGCAATTATCATTTATTATTTATTATATTATTTATGGCATCAAGCGTGTACAGTATGAGCCAATCAGTGGCAGTAATGACAGAGCATGCGCTGTTACGCAAAAACCGCGATAGAGTGAAGCCACGGAAGTCGAAGCGCGAAGTGGCGAGGGTTCACTGTATAGGTGTGAGTCAGCAATATAGCTCTCTCTGACTCTGAGCTCCTTGCTGCTCACTCCCTGGTTACTCCCCTCTCCCTTGTTCCCTTACCCTCCTTCCCTTCCCCCTCTTTCCAGGTGGACCACCAAGCTGGGCTGAGGTGAGCAATGGTATCATGTAACATGTCTGACTGTATTATTGTATTATCTCTCATGCTCTCAATGACTTTAATATAATGCTTATATATCTCAACTGTACAATTGTGCATTATTGAACCCGTTGAGTAGTATTAGTAGCAGTGGGTGGAGGCTGGCCCTTCACCTCCCTCAGCGCCAATTTTTTAATTTAATACTACATCACAAGGGTCACCCGATTCATCACAGTAGCAAAATGACAGTGATGAAGGAGCAGCGGAAATCATTTGATGGTTGGGGGGTCAGCACCACCTGAGGAGCTGTATGAAAGGGTCACAGCATGAGGAGATTGGGAAGCACTGCCCTATGGAGTTGTTCTTTGTCATCAAGCTGATTCCAACTCATGGCAGCCCCATGCGTGTCAGAGAAGACCCCAGGACTCCGTCGTCGTCGTTAATTTTCAGGAACAGTTCATCGGGGGTATCTTCTGGGGCACCTCTGGGAGCCTTCAGATTGGCAACCTTTGGGCTGGTAGTCCAGGGGTGAACTATCTCCACCACCCAGGAACTCCCCTGCAGGTGTGCACATAGGCAACTGACTTGAGATCTCTTTTTCCTTATAGGCATTCACAGCTATACATTTCCCTCACAGCCCTGCTTTTGCTGCATCCCCTAAGCTTTGGCTGGGTTTTCATTGAAAATTTCTCTTTATTTAATAATTTTTCTCCTGGCACTCATTAAGAATGTGTTCCTTACCTTACACATATTTGTCAGTTTTCCTACTGATTGATAGTTTTATTCTATTATGATAGAAAATAGCTGCTATATTATTGCATTTTTTAAAAAGGTACGAAGACTTGTTTCATGACCCAACATATGATCTATCCAGGAGAATGAGGCATGTGTACTACAGAAGAATGTATGTCTGATAGGTCTAACTACTTTCTTGATCATTGGTTTAGGTCTGAAAGAAACATCTTCTACCACACATGGTCAACAATGTAATCCTATCTTGTGTGTGTGTGTGTGTGTGGTTGAGTGATCTTTTACAACCACTGGGTCTCATGACATTATGCAGGATTCTGAGACCTTAGGTCAGCTTCTTCTGCCACTGGAGCATTCTCTCTGCTCCTCAAATCGCCAGGGTTGTTCTAGCCTGAGGACCTGTGTCTATGCGGGTCCCTCTATTGCATTTTCAGGAGTCCTGGTGGCCTAGTGCTTATGTGTTGGGCTATGATCGATCTGCAAGATCAGAGTTCGAAACCACCAGCTTCGCTGGGGACAAACATGGGGCTTTCTCCTCCCATAGAGCTAGACTTGGAAATTCACAGGGGCAGTTCTACCCTGTCCCAGAGCCTCACTATGAGTCAGCCTAGACTCCCAGGCAGTGAATTTGTTTGTTGTGGTTGGCCTGGAACCCTTCGCCTCAGGAAGGTTTTCCGTTTAAGACTCTTCTCTAAGTACCCCCTTCGGCCCTAGCACCCCCTCTGTCTAGACCACCCTCATTTGGCCTCCTGCAGGAGCTTCGGTCAGGAGGCCTGGCGGCTAGTGCTTACCAGTTAGGCTCCGATCTGAAAGGTCGGCAGTTCGAAACTACCAGCCACCTCTGGGGAGAAAGGGCTTTCTCCGCCCGTCAACAGTTACAGTCTCAGAAACCCACCGTTCCACCCTGTCTCACAGGGTCGCTAGGAACCGGCTTCGACTCGGCAACACCGAGTTTGGCTTCTTAAGAGCTTCCTGGGTGCTTGCTTCAAAGTCCTCCGCGCTCTCTGAGCCTCAGTTTGCCCTTGAAGCGCTCTGAGCACGGACACCGCCGGTCAGTGTCCCAGCCTAGCATCCTGCTCTAGCATCCTGCTCTAGCATCCTGCACTGCCTCCCGGACTCCGAGCCCACCGCGCATGCTCTGCACTCGCTCCTCCCCCCGCGCGCGGGGGGCGGGGTCTGGACGCGCCTGCGCAGTTGCCGCGCCCGGCTTCCGGTCCCTGCAGCCGCGATGAGACCCGGAGCCAGTGTCGCCGAGTAGCGGCGGCGTGTGGGCGTGCTGGCCCCGAGGTCGGTGCCAGCGGGGTCTTCGGGTTTGCGCCGAGAGGTGCGGAAAGAACCTGGGTTCGCCGCCCGCCGCCACCACCTAGCATGTCGGCCGAGGCCTCGGGCCCGGCGGCGGCCGCGGGCCCGTCGCTGGAAGCCCCGAAGCCCTCGGGTCTCGAACCTGCGCCCGCTGCATACGGTCCCAGTCCGCTCACCCCGAACAGCAAGTACGTGAAGCTGAACGTGGGCGGCTCGCTGCACTACACCACCTTGCGCACCCTCACGGGGCAGGACACCATGCTTAAAGCCATGTTTAGCGGCCGCGTGGAGGTGCTCACCGACGCCGGAGGTATGCACGCCGCTTTCCGTGGGCCCTCAGCCCCCCCAGGCCCCTCCCGTCCACTCTTAAGGCGCCCACGCTCCAGGCAGCCCCCTCTTTTGGCTCCACTGCCCAGTCGTTCTCACCTCGCTGCAGCCCCATCCCATCTTTCCTTCCTTCCCTTTCTCACCCAGTCTCCCACCTGCTCCAGCCCCGTGCCCCCCAGCAGGAACCAACGGAGCCCCTAACTCTCTACCAAGCCCTAGGTTTCAACATCATTCTTAACCCTCATTCTGCACACCCACGCACCCCTCGCCCCTCACTTTCCCATCCTTCCCACCCCGCTCAGATGACTTGGGAACCAGCCCTGCCGCCTGCTGCGAACTTTCCTGCAGTCAACCTTCACCCGTTTCTTCTAGCCCAACCTTTGTTCCCATCTGCCTCGGCCCCCCAGCATCAGCCCAGAGACCGGGAGATCTCACCGAGCTCTGTTTTCCCAAGAGAGATTCCTCTATTCTGGAGGAATTCATCAGTAGATGCAGGTTCAACAGAAGACAGCTTTGAATTGGTTCGGTTCCCCTGAGCAGGCACTTCCCTTACCTTCATTCAGCTCAGGGCCCCCTGGGGTGGGACCCAGGGGGGACAGCAAAATGTTGGGTGAGGGGGTTTCAGGAAAGGTTGGCAAGGATTGTGAAAGCAGGGAATTGAAAATTAGGATGGGGCGGTGCACAGCTTTGAAGGTGAACACTTAGCCGGCAAATATGTTCAAAGTGCCAGTTTAATGCTAGGGACACGTTGGCATAGAATCTGACTCAACTAAGACAAAACAACACCACACTGTCATTGTTGCTTCTGACTCATCATGACCCATAGGACAGGGTAGAACTGCCCTGTGGGTTTCTGAGACGTCTGTTGGTGGGAGTAGACGGCCCTCGCGCTCTCCCACATAACTGCTGGTGGTTTCAAACTGCTGACCTGGAACTTAGCTCATAGCCACTTCACCACCACGAGGACTCCGGATTCTGACTAGCGCCAAGTCATCAACAACAAGAAAACATATACGGGGCCGAAGATATTTCAGAGGGATTCCTTTGGTGACGGCAGACGTTAGGGGCAGATCAGAATGCAGACTGTGTTGTAACTTGGAATATATATATATATATCAAAGGGCGGTGGCTCCAGGGCCTCCAGCAAAGGCCTTCTTCCTGTTTCCTCACCCCTGCCAGGTTGGGTCCTGATTGACCGCAGTGGCCGCCACTTTGGTACGATCCTCAACTACCTGCGGGACGGATCAGTGCCGCTCCCGGAGAGCACCCAGGAACTTGGGGAGCTGCTAGGGGAAGCCCGCTACTACCTGGTCCAGGGCCTGATTGAGGACTGCCAGCTGGCCCTGCAGGTGAGGTCCCTTCCCTGTCTTAGAGCCCCATCCCAAGACCCTGGGAGAGCTACACAGGTGGTTAATGACCAAACTCACTGCCAGAGGGTCGACTGCGAAGCAGACGGATGGCAGAACTGCCCCTCTGGGTTTCCCAGGGAGTGGCTGGTGGCTGCAAACCAGCCAACTTCATGATTAGCCCTGGGGTGCTTTCATTGTTGGGACAGGTAAAAAGGAGTTGGAGGGTCCTGCCTGGAAAGTTCTAGGGTAAAACCTGGCTCTTAACTGGCTGTGACCCCGGAATTTGGGGGTTCTTTGTACTCCCTCTCTGCTTCCTCAAGCAGGGCCCTCCTCACCACTTCGGGCCAGAATTCTTGGAACCCTTAAATGGTAGTTTTCCCCACTACTTGCTGGTTTTACCTGGTCAGCCCAGCTGTTCCACTGCAGGCCCAATCTGTTCTCCCCTTTGCTCAGAAAGACAAACTCGCTCCCTGCTGCCACTCGGAAAAGAACTCCGAATGGAAATATAATGACCTATGATTTCACCTCTCTCTCACTATTCCCTCTGTTTGGCTCGCTCTCTCCGGAGTGGTGAATCCTTAACCCCAAATGAAGTAAAATCTCATAGAAGCAGAACTGCTCTTCTCCTGACAAAACGGGGCTAGAGGTTCCAGCCAAAGATTGGGAGGTGTTGGGTTTGGAAACAGCAGCCAAGGCCTATGGGTTCAGGCTTAGCTCTCCTGAGGACGAGCGAGTAACCTTGGGTGAGCCCCTCCCCATCTCTGGCACTGCATCCGGGCTTCCAGAAGATAGGAAAGAAGCAGCAGTGTCTTTAGTTTTCACATAAAGCCTTTTATTGTGCCTTGACGATGTTAAAATGTGCCCTTCAGGATACAGTTCATGATTGCATGCCATTTATGATACAATAGTAACGGGGAATAAGATAGTCACAGGAGCGTGCTCTTGGTAAAGAAGTGACAACTTGGAATGAAGCTCTGTTATCAGAGGTGATGCTTACTGATTGGTTGTCCTTGTCTTCGTGTGAATTATAGCAAAACCTTTGCCATTTTAACCAGTTTGAAAGTGTGTAAAATTCCACTGACAAAAAAGAATATAAATTATAAAGGGGACATGGGGCAGACAGAGTGGGGAAGGGAGGGAAAAAACGAGGAGCTGATACCAAGGGCTCAAGTAGAAAGAAAATGTTTTTGAAAAAGATGATGACAACATATGTACAGATGTGTTTGACACAACGGATATATGTATGGATTGTGATAAGAGCTGTAAGAGCCCCTAATTAAGAAAAAAATCCAGTGACATTATGGGCCACCTGTGTCGCACCCTTATCACCATGATCAGTTTCCACCTGTCCACCCAGGACCCCAGAGTATAGGCTTCCTTTGGACGGTATCCACGTCTTGCAGACTTGTTGACCGCACCCTCCAGGAAGAAGAAACGTTTATATTCAAGTATACATCCCTGAAAGAAGCATCTTTAAACGTGATGCTTCAGTGAACTACGCTCTGCTATCTCGTGTGTTCATTTTGGGGGGTCTTACTGCTGGTTGAAACCTGCTACGCTGACTGAATGAATTACCACTCACCTAAAGGACGCTGGAAGTGCGTTCCTGAGCTATAGTTTAACTTACTGGTTTAACAAGGGGCTCACGGCTCCTTCTATGGCTCTCGGCTTGAAGGTAGATTTAGTACACACGTTGACATCAACAGGAGCCTCAGAGAGATGGGGTGATGCATCCAGGGTCCAAACCCCAAATCCTCGCCCCCATCAAGTCAGCTCTGACTCCTGGTGACCTGCTAGGGCAGGGTAAAACTGCCCCTGGAGGGTTCCAAGACTAGCTCCTTACCGGAGTAGAAAGCCTCATCTTTCTCCCAATGGGCAGCTGGTGGGTTAGAACTGCTGACCTGGAGGTTAGCAGCCCAATGTTTAACCACTACACCAGAAAGAGCCAGTCAATGGCAGCGCTCACGATCCACCCCCGGCTGTCTGGCTGCAAGCGTGGTGCTTTTCTGTTGTGTTCCAGCCACGTCTTTTCCAGGTCTCTCTTGGATTCTTTTTTTTTTTTTTCAAAGAAGGTACAGAGAGTTTGCATCCTGCCCTTGAGTTTGTGACACTCTAGTGGCCTAATGGTTGCACGTTGGGCTTCAATCCAAAGGTCGGCGGTTTGAAACCACCATCTGCCCTTTGTAGAAAGGGCTTTCTACTCCTGGAAGCTATTGCAGTCTTGGAAGCCCACAGGGCCCGTTCTCCGTGTCTGATGCCTGATGGGGTTTCTAGGTCGGAGTCGACTCAACGGCAATGGGCGTTCTCCGTTTGTCGTCCTTGAGTCTCTTGGTTCTCTGTAAGTCTCTTCTCGGTTGGAAGAGCTCAGTCCCACTCCCCCTTCCCTGCTCCCCTCTTCCCAGGGGCTTCCATTTCTGGCGTTGATGCTTGGATGCATGTGCTCTTGCACGCTGAAGACTGGTTTTGTGTCTGTGTACATTTCAGATCCAAATGCCTCTGAGCTGCAAAGATCTCGTCCTGTTTCGTAGTTTCGTTTTCTGCACCTGACACTCAAGCTCTCGGAATGCTGTGTGTCCATTCAATCCTTCACTTCCAGCTGCTGCACAAGAATCACTGCATTTTATCCACTCCCCGGGGTGGAGACCCCACTTTGTGTCACCCGACCCCCACACCCGTGCCCCAGGGATCCTCCTTCACCACGTGTCCCCTGGTGGCCCGGAGCCAGGGTTTCTCCGTGTGTGGCTGGGAGAGGAGCTAGTTTACCTGTCACTCGGGCCGTGGATACTGAAGTTCATTAGGGTCAGCCCTTTACTCTCCCGAATGCCTGTTGTCCTGCCAGCAGGACGCCCGGATCCTGTTTCCCAGCAACCTCAGTCGCATGTGGCATCATTTAGCTTTGTGATTTTGCCAGTCTGAGGGGTGTCGAGGGACCTCATTTTAATTTGCATGCTTCTGACTGCTAATGATGTTGAGCGTCTTTTCGTAAACTCACTAGCTTTTTTGTTTCCCCTTCTGTGAACTGCCTATTCATACTCTATACCTAATTTCCTACCGAGCTTCCTGTTTATTTTGATGGTTTCTTCCTTTCTCTCTTTTTGCTGCTTTGCAGGAGGAGTGCCTTGTATATTTTAGCTCCATCTTTTGCAGCCTGGTTTTCTGGAGAAAACGGGGACCTATTATCCTAAGGCACTCATACATAGTAAATGAGCTTTTTCCTTCATACCCAGAACTGCCCATTGCAGGGGCCGGGGTTGGAACCCACTAGCTCCTCCACTGGAGAAAGTTGAGGCTGTCTGCTTCTATAAAGATCCACAGCCTCCAAAGCCTATGGGGTTTTGAGATGAGTCAGAATTGATTCAGTGGGAGTGGGTTGGGTCTGTGGGCAGCTAGACTGGTGCCATGTACCTGGGATCCTGTGGAGAACGGAGAAAATAATCAAATTACTTTCTGGGGCTCAAGCTTTGACTGAGCAGCCCCAGTTGAGAAAAGTTGTTCTCAGTAATTTTCAGTCAGTTTTAGATGTTGGCCATTTTTCCCCCTCTTAGAATGTGGCCTATCTGTGGCATTTGTTGTTGCATAGAAATCTTAGATTTATTTATTTATAATTACAAAAAGCCATTTTAAAAAAAGTAGAATTGTGCATTTAAGAGATCTGGAAAACAGACAAAACAAAAGCACCAACTATCTCTGTGTGTGTGTGTGTGTGTGTGTGTGTGTGTGTG